TTATCCCAAGAGAGGGAAAAGAAACGCTCAGAGAAAACCTAACGAAAATAGAGATAAGATCGGTCGTCGCAAGAAAATCTCGGGTTCGGGAGTCGGTTACACAAGGGGAAGGTGTTAGCACCCCTCACGTCCGTCGTACTCGACGAGATCCACGCTTGTTGTCTATCTAAAAGGGTGATTGAAACTATCTAACTACAGGCTTGAGGACAAAAGAAAGTGACTCGGCAAAGCAACAACGCTTTGTGCCTACGTATCTCATCTGAAATGAGAAGTCAGAGGCAACGTAGTTCGGCTAACTACGGGTGAAAGGGGGAAGGTTGCTTGCCGAGACATCACGTATTGTGCCTACGTACTTTCATCTGGTATGAAAGATCATAGCAAACGTAGTTCGGGCTAAAAGGGAACACATGTTTTTTCAACTGTTTTTTAGGCCCGAGTAGGGTTAACAAGTAGTTCTAGCAGTTGGTGTATACTGCTTGACCATTGGAGACTTAGGCGTTACCGTTTGCGGTAGAACTAAAAGTTAACGACACTCTTTTTATATGAAAAGGTTTTCCTGATTAAGATCCTGAAGGATGAAAAAAGTTTTGAAGTATTTTTGTGTTTTTTAGAGAAGAAGTGTTTTGAATTTGAGTGTTTATAATACATGTTGTAACAAAGTCTAAAACCTAGGATCGAATGCGTCGCATATCGCCCTAAGGACGTATACTAAACACTCTAGGAAATTGAGAGGTGTCCCCTCAATCACCATTTCCCAAGTATAAGGCTCATGGCACAACATCCATAATCTTTATTAAGTGTTTTGAGATTGTTTTGAGATGAGAAGAGAAAGGACACTAAAAGGGGGACTAAATCCAAACCTAAAGTTATCATGCAATGATGATCCTAAGATTGAGGTAAGGGAAATTCTACCTAATGTTATCATACATGGTTAAGATCCTAATGTCTAACATAATCTCCATTGAGAGATTAGAGGTCCTAAGGGAAAGGAGACGAAGAAACAACATGAAACAACATAAACATGCAAGGATACAAACAGAATGCAAATGAGGGAGGAAATTGTGTGGGGTAAAGACCACCACAAGCTCATCTCAACCTCAAACAACAATATGCAAGAGATAAAGGGAACAATAAATACATCAATAGAAACACACAAGAGCATCAAAAGTGGGATGAAATGGCCTAAACCAAACAACATCAACCACAATGCCACAAAGCAAAACAACATAAAAAGAGAAAGGAAAAGAAACCCTAACTCAAAGAGGGGTTAGAACAAGAGAAGAAAACAGCAAGGCATTCCCCAAACATCATTCAACCAAGGCATCATCATGATTTGTGCAAAAGATACAACAAAAGTGTCCTCATGGTTCACCATTCAATTCATGTTTCAAATACCTCCAAAGGAGGGAACTTGAAAAAACCTAAATGGTGTTCCAAAGTCCTTGGACAGCAAGGGGAATGAAATAAGAGATCTCAAAATAAAAAGAAAGTAAACCACAAGGAAATGCAAGCAAATTCCCAAAGGAAAGCAAGCTTGTTTCACAATGAAACCCTAATTAGAAACCCAAAAGTTATCAAGCAAATGAACAAGCAGCACCAAATGTTATGACCTAAAAATGAGCAAGCATCATCCTTAACATGTTAACAACATGAATCAATAGGCATTGAGAGCTCAAAGGATCCAAAAATTTCATATACAAGTCAAACTAGGTCAAGATGTATGTATGAACCTTCCTTTAGGGTAACTTGACTTGCAAATTACTCTAAAAATAGGAAAATAATTCAAAAAATATCAAATAAAATACAAGAAGCTCATAAATGTGTTGGCAACCAGAAGCCAAAAGATTGCAATCAAAATCACTTCACAACATCACCATAGAAATTGATTCACAAGGGTGCTCCATTGCGAAGGAGGATTGTTAGGGTCAAATGAAGGGCATCAAAAGTCAACTCAAAAGTAAACTAATCAGGGGCAAAATGGTCCTCAAAAATTCTTTAACTCATCATTGATATGAGGATTGAATTTCATTCATTGGATCAAAATGAAATGAGAGAAATAAAATCAAGAACATAACATGTCAAGATCTAAGTTATATAAAACACTTCCAAAGTTAAATCCCATTTTTAATTGAAAAATAAATCATAAAATAAAATAAAAATTTATAAAAATAAGAGGACGTCTCAAAGATTCTAAAACATATTTTTTGGGATTTTATGACCTTTGGAAGTATTTTAAAATAATTAAAATCTAAACAAAAATAAAATAAAATAAAATGACAAAGGGCTGGGGGGTTCAGGCAGCAACCCAGAAGCGTTGCAAATCAAAAGGCCCACATGAAGGGGGGGGGGGGGTGGTGGTGCTAATAGCAACTCAGCCCATCAGAACAAACAAAAATGAAATAAAACATGGAGATCCTGTGTAGCGTGGTCAACCAAGGCATACAGTGGAACGCGCTCACATGCGTTGGATCAAATGGTATTCCAATCACACGGATCATAACATGCCAAATCATTTAATGAATATTCAACCTAGATTCCATGTGGTGAGTCAAAGTGTGTGTATGGTGTGTCTTAATGTAAACCGCGAGATGTAAAATAAAAAGGATCTAACGCACATGAACGAGCCAGTGCTTCATCATCTCCCAAAACACACACAAAAGCATACGGTGGCCGGAATCAACTTCGGTCGTCTTCAACCTTGGATCCGGCCACCACACAAAATGCAGCCATGGCAAAACAACACCAAAAACAATGGAATAAAGGCCAAAAGTGATCTACTCATCGAGAGGATCAAGAATACATCATTAGTTTTCAGAAGGGTGCTTAAATAAAAGAAAACGAAGAGAAAAAGAAAAGAGCACAAATCATAAAAACTCAAGAACAACCATTAAATCATTCCAGAATCCAACTATGATATGCAAGGATCATAAATATATAAAAATGGCGTATTAAAGATGCATAATCAGTGAGATATTTTGAAAGGAAGAAAACCTAAAAATAAACTTCCCCAATGTTCAGTTTGCTACCAAAGCTTGCAAAAAGTTATCCAGAAACGTTCAATGAAGCTTGAGGAATGTTTTAGGATGTTTAGCTTGGAATGAAACTCAGTGAAACTCAAAAAACGAATTTGACTTTTGCTCTCACTTTTTTCAATTTGTTCTCTCTCTCTCTCTATCTCCCACCAAAACGTGTTATGAAGGTATGGGAATGTTCCTGAGTTTATGTATGTTGGATAAAAAAGAAAGCCCAATAGAATGCTCATTAAGCCCAATTGGATTTCAAAATTTTCACTATGGAAGCTTCCAAAAGGTACACAAAAATGTACTTGTAAAGCTGTAAAAATGACACAGCTGACTTGCATAAGGTGTAGGCTGATCCAAGGGCTGAGAATGACTCCTTGGTTTGGTCTTATGGCATGTCTTTGATGTGTAACTTAATCTTGAAGAAAACATGAAAATGGCCACCAAAATGCACTCAAATTCCAAATCCAAAGATGGCATTATGTTTCAAATGTCATTTGCACTCAAAATATGCATAAGGTTGGTACAAAATGTTTTCAAATGAATTAGTTTTGATTTTTCCCTTTTTAAGCCTTTTTTCATGAAAATTTCATTAGGGATCCTTCAATCTAGGCCAAACCTTTGATCTCTTGATGCTTAGTTAAGCAAATGACCCCATTTGGAGCAAGTTTGATGTTGGAAAAATTTCCATTTAGAGTGTGCAAAGTGGTGAAAATGACCTATAATGAAAATGACCTGTAATCCTGCTTTCCCAAAATACCCCTGCCTTGCAAGCCTCATAACTTGAGTGCTACAAATCAGATGAAGGACTTCTAGTACTCTTTGGAAATCTAAGATCATGAGGAACAACTTTCATGTTCATCAAAAGTTGAGGATAAACATCCTTCTAGGTCAAAAATGGCTTGGAAGTTTGTTGACTTTTGTTGACCAAAATCACATTCATTTGAGGACTTGTAACTTGTCTGCATCATAACTTGAGTTCTATAAATCCAAATCAAGGACTTCTAGTACTCAAAGGAAAGATAAGAACATGATCTACAAGTTTCATGTTGGTCAAAAGTTAAGATGAGACTTGTATCTTGAGATAGGTGGTCTTGAAGTTAGGCACTGAACAGGGGATTTTACACTGAGAACCCTAATTCAGTCACTCCTCACACTCTTGATTCTTGATGAATTGATCTTGAAATGATATCCCATGTATCTTAAAACAACATTCCATGACCTTAAAAACTTGGAATTGAGTCTTAATCTCCTTCAATTTTATAGTTGACTCAGGGTTGACCAGATGAAAACCCTAATTGCACCATCTTTAACTGTAGCTCTTCACACTTGGTATAAACACTTTAATGAACCCCACAATGACCCTCAAGGCCTCCAATGAGCTTAAGTGATCATCTTTATCCATAAACATGGGCTTGTGATCCTCAGATGATCTTCAAATGGCCTCCAAGACAGGAGGTGAACCACATACACTTATCTGCCTATCCAAAGGGCTTTGACTTGTCTCTGATGATGATAACTCCCCTTTTGACTTGAATTCAACCTCTTGATTAGGCTTAGGACCCTTGGTACATTCCTCTTGTTGCACACACATCTCTTGATTCCCTGTAAAAATGCAAAATGCTATGCAATGCAATATGCTAAAACAATGAAACATAAACCAAGTAAAGAAAAGGTTGGGCAAATTTTGGGGTACAACACCATGCCATGTTGGACTCCGCCTCTCAGCCTATTTTTTTTATTCTTATCAATGACCGACTTAATTCTAGAACATATACATCCATTATACTCTTGTAGCAACTCCTTTTGGTTAGTTATCCTATTTGTAATATAATGCCTAACCCCCTCTAATAAGGTGATTACAGGTTTATCTTAATGCTCCAACATTACCCTGTTAAATGCCTCACATATGTTGTTGACTTGTAGATCACGCTTGGTATATTTCTTGAAGGTATTTTTGACATGTCCTTCTAGGCACTTTCATTTAAAGCCTTTTTTTCTTCTCTGGATTGCTTTCTCCCATGCTGGTATTGTTATTTCCATAACAGCTACCCACATGAATTCCTTTAATTCCAAGCCAGAGTACTTCTTCTTCCAATTAGAATATAGGTGTTTAACACATAGTCTTTGTTCCACACAAGTACTAATACCTTGAACTGCATTAACTAGTCCCTGTCACATGTAAAGGCACAATTAGATGTAAGAAAATTATATAAGACATCAACAATAATTAAGTTAGATAAGATAATACCTTATGTTGGTTAGATGTAAAGGCATATGACTTATGATTGACTTCACATAAGTCCTCCAGAAGAAGGAATAAAAACCGCTCACATGAATCTTTGGTTTCAGTTTTAACCACAACATATGCTATTGGAAATATATGATTGTTACCATCCCTACCTACTCTTGACATTAGCTGGCCACCATAGTCCCCTTTCAAAAAGCAAGCATCCAAACCTATAAGTGACCTACTTGTTTGGGAAAATCCTACCTTGCAGACCCTTAGACAAACATATATCCTTTCAAAAACATGATTTTCATTGCTTTCGGCACAATCTTTAACCACATTGCTATTAAGATTTCACTCTAGCAACTCTTTTCCACAACTCTTCAGATGGTTGAATTGCTCACTCCTAAAACCTTGAATCAATTCCATTATCTTCATTTTTCCCTATATGCTTGATCTAGTGTTAATATAACTCCCTATCTCTCAATGAATTCAGATATGAGCCCAAAAGGTTTAATATAAGGGACATGTCTAAGGATATTTAAAAAAAAATATAAGCCAACTAGTTTTTGCATTCCTGTTGTGTGGAGTCCTTTGGCAAGTATGATCATCGACAAATTTGATTATTTGCCAATATTGTTTGTCCATTCATTTTATTAAATCTCACATAGAATTTACAATCAGTCATACATTGAATCACCGTCCTTTTGGAATCATTTTTCTTACTGAACACGTTTGTTTTATTTTCCATACCATATTCCTTGATTACATCTCTTATCATATCCTTGTTGGTAAACAACATCCCTAAATGAAACTACACTACTAGACCACTCTTATAAGTTGGAAACTTAACTACCTCATCATCATCAGTTTTAGAAGGGGTGTATAAATGATCAGAATCTTTAGATTCTTCATGTCCCATATCAGCTGGCCCTTGTTCATTGTTAAGACCAGAAACCTCACGCAAAGTCTCAAAGGGTAATACTTTGGTCCAATACATATCATCAGAGTTATCACTAAATGGAATATCATTTTCCTCACTTGCCACATAATCCTTATCAATGCTAATTTCATCATCAACCTCAACATTCTGAGAATCATCCACATGACCATCACCCTTTTCAGCATCAACTTCAACATTCTCACCATCATCCACATAGCCATCACCACTCCTTTCTTCAATAACATTGTTACCATCATCCTCATCCACATGTTCATCACCATTCATTTCTTCAGCAACATTTTTACCATCATCCACATGATCATCACCATTCATTTCTTCAATAAAATTATTAAAACCAGTACATTGCACCTCTTCATCTACAATGTTAGTACATAACTCACTACCATATACACTTTTAGGAATTCATACATTGTGCTCCATATAAACATCTATTACCTCAAACCTTATGGCATCTTTGGCAAGCTACAACACATCATTATCATTATACAAGGGTCTAACACCACGAGAAAAAGTGAACCTAGGATTCCAATTTCACATACACCTTAAATTTTTATAACCTTCATTTTTAATCAAGCTCTCAAAATCCATGTATGAAAAAATCTACACCCCTCTTCCAATTCATCTCAGATGAAAATCCTTCAACATACCATTTAATAGGTTCAACAACTAATCTACCCCTATGGTGTATTATTAATTCTGAGATGGCCTGAAAAATAATTGAAAAAAAATGAATAAATTAAGAAGCAATGTGGGACCAAATATTAACATTAAATATGGATGGTGGACCACAGGAAAAAACATATGAGACCACGAATTTACATAGTAAAATCATGGTGGACCACATGTTACCTTATAGGACCATTGAATAACATAGAAAACATACATGATGACACACAAATGGGACAAGAAAACATACCTTAAACAGAACTTCACTTCTTTACTACTTTTGAAATGTTCATTGCTCATCTTCGCCATCTTTGATTCCCATAAAAAATGATTACAAATACGATTCAACAACTGTGGGGATTGAACTACGCTTGAGAAAAAATGGTGATTGAACTTCGCTTAAGCAACAATGGTGAACCGAAGAGAATGGATTTGGGAAAAAGGGATTAGGGTTCTTCAAAATATTCCAGAAATGAATTTGTATGTTTCCAGAAATGAGAGGGATTAGGGTATATGACATTTTAGATTTTAAAGTATCATATTTTTTTAATTGGAATATAAAATGCTTTTGTTGATTAAAAAATGAAGAAAATAATTATTTTAATTAAAATATTGAAATAAATATGACATGGCCCCACAGTAAACTTGCCATGTCATTAATGAGGCTACCACCTATGCAAAATGGGAGGAGGACCAACTAAATTTCGAGTGATGTAAAGTTTATGGACCAAATAACTGGTTTTTAAAATGGGAGGACTAAAAGTTAAAAATCGTTAGAGTAGGGGGACGAAAAGTGCAGTTAAGCCTTTATTTTATTTTAATTAAGGTAGTCGATGTGAGGGTCTTTCACATTTTTTGGAAAATGAGTCAATAGAGTTAAAGATGGAAAATAGACATACTAGTCCTATTTAGGTTCGTTCAATAAAAATTTGCCAAAAAATAAGACGGAGCACAGTGGACATAGTTGAGAGAGTGGGCCTAAATTTGATCACCCCATAAAAAATGAGGGCGGAACAAACTCACGGTTGCACTTTTAAAACTTAAAATTGAAAAAAATTATTTAAATGCATATGCCCTCAAAAAATCAATAGAAAAACAGGGCAGCACAAACATATTGGAGAGTATGAGTCTAAAACTTTAGTCCGCCCCGCAAAAAAGTGCAGGTAAAACGCACATGCCCAGTTGACCAAACTGTTTTTGTCACCTTAGCGTATATCTTCGTCATACCCTAAATTTTACCCTCATGTTTTTCACTTGCATCTGCATAGTGCAATTGTTCATTTTTGTCATACATTCTTTTAGTCAAAAGCATTCATTATGGTTTCAGACGAAAGGTTAGGAGTTCGTACATTTTATCTGGTCTTGATGATGTTCATTCAGTCATCTTGTGATTAAGAAGTCAAAAGGCTTGATTTCTCAATCTCAGTGCGTCTTTTATTCCATTTCATCATGTTTCAAAGGTCTAGAGGGTGACAGCTAAGAGTATTGTCGTCATCTGAATCTCTGTAGGGTTTAATTGTAATGGAGAGTCAGAAGTAAATGGTCCAAGAGCGATTCATTTGTATCTGATTGTCAATTCACGATTATTCTATCAATAATTCAACTCGTTTTCAAGGCATATGCATTTCCTACTTATCACAACATGCATTTTTTCCGTATAACGCTTAAAATATCATCCTGAATAATTTTTCGGATCTACAGACAGACTAGTCGAAATCATTTCTCAACTATACACTGAAATAACAGGCAAAAAATTTCAAAACCGAGTTTGCAGACGTCTGTATTCTTAATCTATGTTTTGTGTAGGTTAACCTGACGTTCTTGTTTTATTTTTAGACTACTTTTTTTGTCGCATTTTGATCAACCTGAACCTTTTAACTGATCATTTTTTATTTCAAAATTTGATCAAAACCTGTATGTTTTTTAGAAGTTTATTTTGCGCTGATCATTTTTATGCATTAATTTTAATTTTTTGAGCATTTTTGTGCTCGATTTTTTTCTTCACTTTAAATCCTTTTATTATTATTTTCAAAATGTTCAAAATAAATAAATAGAATTTTCTATGTTTTTATTTTGAATTAATTTTGATTATTTTAAGGTGTTTAAATTTATTTAGTTTTAAATAATTTTAATTGATTTTGTCTCCAAAATAAATATCTAAGGGTATTTTGGACACATTTAAAAATTAAAACCCTAATGATTTTAGTGTGTGTGTGTGTGTAAATTTTTTGAATATGGTAGACAACCCCATACCTGGATAAATGTGAAGACTTCAAGAAGCATATCCTCAAAGTCAATGAATCAGATAAGATAGTGTTGCAGTGAGAATCAGATATCAAGCTATTAATTAACTTGAATCATAAATCATTAAATATTCACCACTGAGTTTTAATTTATCCAAAGGAAAGGATAAAGGTATTAACACCCTAAGTATCTGTAGTACTCTACAGGAACCTCTTATTTGGTATTTGTGTTATGTTGATGTTTGTCTGCTAATGGTTATGTGCTAAGATAAAGGTGCTAAAGGTAAAAAAAACTATGGGTATATACAAAGTATGCTCGCCAAGACGTTGCATCTCGTGCATACGTATCTTAACTAGGATGGAATCAGAGAAACCTTAGTTCACCTAACTAGGGTGAAGAAACTCTTGACTATGGTCAAGGTTGCAAGGGGAATAAGTATTCATAACAATGATACTCATATAGAGTTAACAAACCTTCTAAGTCTAAGTTAAAATATCTAACTGGGGATGACTTTAACAAAAGTTAAAAGGGAAAGTGAGTACACATAACAATGGTACACACAAAGAGTTGACAAACTCTGGACCTAATCTCTAAGTTAAAAGATTCCTAACAAGGTGTTCTAAAGGTCTTGACTTAACAAAGTCAAAAGGGATGTTGGTTCTAACTTAAGACTAAGTTGCAAGACCTAATGAATCTAACAAGGTCAAGAGAAGGTTAAAAATAATGAGCTATCTATGACATTGAGTCAATAAAGAGACATTTCTTTGGACTAAGGGATATGAGGCAACTCTTTAGGATGAGAGCTAACAAGCTACATCACTTGGGGGAAACTTAACAAGCTTAAGAGGTGCTAAAAACAATGTGATAATTAAACACACTTCAAGCACATATATTCATTCAAGTATGATGAAGACATAAAATCATGGTAACAACCAAGAAGGTAAGGGCAAGCATGTGACAATATCAAGCAAGGTTTGATAAAGTTAATAGGTGACAAGGTTACAACCAAGCACTCATCCAAAAACGTTTTAGAAGAAAATCAAATGGTTACTACCAAAGGTAAACATATATGTTACAACATCTAAATAATCATAAAACAAGGTTCTTACAAGACCAAACATCATATTTGACAATTTGAAGTACAAACAAATCATGCATAAGTCAAAACATTACTTATCATGGTAAATATTAAAACTCAAGATCAACATACATAAATCATAAAGATGTTTAAAGCATGGATATAAGTCAAGGAAAGTAGAGGTAACAACAAAAGCATGAGAGTGAATATGATAACATCATGGTGTAGACTTGA